TCCTGCATGTGCCATGTAATGACACTCAGGATGATCTGTTCCATAACCTTCCCAGGCACCGAGGTCAGACTGACAGGCCTGTAGTTCCCCAGATCCTCCTTCCGGCCCATCTTGTAGATGGGTGTCACATTTGCTAACCTCCAGTCAACTGGGACCTCCATGGTTAGCCAGGACTGCTGATAAATGAAGGAAAGTGTCTTGGCAAGCACTTCCGCCAGCTTCTTCAGTACCCTCGGGTGGATCCCATCTGACCCCAGAGACTTGCGTGTGTCTAGGTGCTGTAGCAGGTCATTCACCATTTCCCCGTGGCTTATGGGGGCTTCGTTCTGCTCCCCGCACCTGTCTAGTAGCTCAGGGGGGGCTGGGTACTCAGGGAACAACTGGTTTTACTGTTAAAGACTGAGGCAAAGAAGGCATTAAGTACCTCAGCCTTTTCCTCATCCTTTGTCACTATGTTTCCACCCCCATCTAATAAAGGACAGAGATTATCCTTACTCCTCCTTTTATTGTTAATGTGTTTACAGAAACTTTTTTTGTTGTCCTTAAATCAGTAGCCAGGTTAAGATAAACATAAAATAAACAGGTAAAAGGTGATTTTAGCTGTTAATTTTAGGGGGTTTTTTTGTTGAACTCAAGTATTCGTAGGTATTTATTCCAGAGTGTCACTCCTACTTCCAAGTATTTTTTCTTTAAATTTGACTTGTCGAAATTAAAGAGTGATCTTCAGGGAATAAAATTACAATTAGTATGTTAAAGCCAAGCAATTTACAACAAAGGAGAAAGAACAGAAGGAAAAGGAAATGTCCCTTGTTAAATATTTACCTTTTTTTGATGAAAACTGCCTTATAAATGACAATATAATACAAGTGCTCCTTAGATAAGGTCAGCATTCAGCATAGAGTTAAGTCTCCCATAGAGACTTACATTTCTTGGCACAGAAACCTTGATTATAAAAATTTCATATAGGAAATGCAAAGTGTCATAATGTGGGACTTTGATCAATGATGCTATCCTGATTTATAATTGTTTTTTTTTAACGGTGATGCGCACAAAGCACTAATTTAAAAGCTCATTTTAGTTGCAACCTACCTCTCCCTTTTAATAACAAGAAAGTCATCTGATTACATTTTTTCAGTCATCCTTGTATCACGTATTAGATAATCTCCTTATAGTTTAAAACTAAAAATGCTAATGGATTGGGGAAATGGGTTTCTGCTTTCATCCAGAATATCTGTCTTTTTTATGCTTGTCTTTTGGATCATTTATCTAAATAATAACCTTTAGTGCCCACTCCTTCCTTCCAATGAACTAAAAGACATTAATGATTAAAGTCAGCAAATACACATCTTCTCCCTACTCTGATTTTGCCAGCTGAGGTTACCACTTTCAGATGCTTTTTTTTTTGGGAGGTGGGGAGCTACAGACATCCCCTTACAGAGCTACTCATGTGGTTACTTCCATATTTGTCTCAATCAAAACAGCCTAAGTTAGCTTAAACTAACTAGTTAATGAGTATCACCAGTCAGCACTGACTGAAAGGACATTTTTCTCAGTAACAAGAAGTAAGCAATTATATGAAAAACTCAGCAAACAGCTTTCAGTCAGAAAATCTGTTGGGGCAACCCCAGAAAAGAGGCAGTAATAAGCCCCCTCAAGGGAAGGTGCTGTGAGTGGTAACTTCTTCAGCAGGCAAACCTGGAGATACAGGAGGATATATTTGCACGACCTTAGTCTCAGAATGAGGGAAGATAAGTCATTTTGCACAAAAGCAGCATGGAGAAGATAAATGACCAGCCCAAGGTCAGGTACAAAGATTGTGGAAATTGTGGGAGTAAGTGCCAGGACAGAGATTTTTCTAGAGTATTTGTGTAGTTCAGTTTTCATCATGCCTGACATCTAAGCTGTATCAGGACCGAGCTTTCAGAAATTGCTTAGCATGTACCCTCTGGGGAGAAAAAAAAAACACAAAAACACCACCAAGAAGATTCTGAGCAACAGGGATGTATCTTTAAAATACTGAGGAAATCACGTTCCTCACCTACCAATGCCTTCTGAAATAGATGGAACTGGAGCACATTTGAAGTGCCAACAACTTTGTACTGCCTTGAGACTTTGGAAAACATTTTCCAGCGAAAAAGTATTCTTCCACAATCTCTTCCAGCAGCCCTTCCCTTTCATACAAGGCCAAATTTAAGTCCTGCTAATCCCACTGTTGACAGTATGACATGGGGGGAAATACCTCAAGTAGATGGATGCCATGCTAGAGGCTCACAGCAGCGTCTTCAAGTAACTTACGCTGTTCTGAGGCTCTCACTGCTTAGAATAAATTCATTCTGGCACGAAGCTTTCAATCTGCAGAGTCAAAAAAGGCTGTGGATATAAAGCGACATTCTTACATGAATCAGATTGTTTTCTCCATTGATAAGAACAAAAAATGACCCTATGAGGTCAGTCTAAAAGTCTTTCTGGTGCTGCTTTGATATTTCCTGTGGTGATAAATAGCATAATATTCTCAATAGTTGCAAATTACAAAAGAGCCAAAATCTACCTATGTATATTATGTAGTCACTAAATCGCATTTTCATGGCATGTGGGAGGTGACCAGGAGACAATAGCAGACAGACAGCTAAAGGAATTGTATTCCGCTCACTCCTCAGAGGGGAAAAAAATAATCCATTAATAGAATTTAATAGGAAAGGAAACCTGTTAA